TATTTGCCTTAACCAGCACATTTGAAGTTTCTCGTTCAGGAGACTCAGTTTGATAATAGGGCCACTGTCTTGTGAGAGGCGAACATTGTGCGAGATGTATGGCCTTGAGGAGACAGATTTACCTGCTGTTTTGACAACTCATTACCTGTAATTTCACTGACGGACTGGTGAAGCGTCTCAGAGCAGAGGCAGCCGTGGCACCACCACCGCACACTGTGATTCTGCCCAGAGTGATGTAAGATAGAACAGCAAACAAGCACAGACCTATTATGGTTAATGATTGCTTACGACAGAAGGTGTGGAGGGGCGGGGGGGCATGACAGTTGCCACTATCAGGAGGAGGAGGAGGTGGAAGGGGAATAAATCCTAAATCCACTTGTGTGCAGTTTTGGAGGCTGTCTAAAAACAAAGAGGTAACAATGTTGTCATGACATTGGAAACAAACAGTTCATTAACTAGAGATTCACCATTGAGACCTGTTCTCAACGTGTGGTTCGTGTTTTCTTTGAGGTCACAAACTTTAATCCTGTTGATGGTAGGAAAATGCTACAGCCGTTGTTGGCTGTGGTTGTAGAGTGAGGCTGTGACGCAGTACCAGAAAAGTTTTAGAATCTAGAAGTGACATATGTTTATGGATGTGTCTATGTAAATTCTCCATTGTTTCACAATCGCATGTTTTTGGACATTTTCTTCAGAAAATGAGGTGGTCGATAAATTAAAAACACATGCAGACAGAGAGAACTGTTTGTCAATAATAACTCTTGGACTGACTGCTAATATCCACTTACAAAGTAATGTGTGCAGATGAATATCGTACTGTTTCACGGACGTATGATAGGCTGAGTACTGTGTTGTTGTGGGTGTATAATAGTATGAAAGCACAAGGTAAAGTCACATGTCTCTTCAGTCTAATTGAAATACCCCAGCTTTGTTAGATGTTTGGTGAAGCAGAGCTAAGAGAGACCTAAGAAGTCGTTGTGGAAATGAATACAAAACAATAACACACAACTAATCCTTGTTGGATTGTACAGCGCCATACAACAATGACAAAATAGCAGGTCAGCCCCCGCCCCCTCTTCCTTTTGCACTTTTACTGCATCTTTATTCAGCGTTTGGCACACTGCTTAGGCTTTAATGAACTCAGAGGTAATGGGATGGAGCCCCAGGGACCTCATTAGGCATTTCAATTAGCAAAAAACACACACAAGGTAGGTTACAGTTTTTTGTGGCCTTGGAGATGAGGATTTGTGCCAGGGATGGACCATTTATGTCAAAGTGTGCAGGAGGAGGAGGAGAGAGAGAGTGTGTGTGTGTGTATGTGTGTGTTTGGGGGGTGATCTGAGGTGGAGGCCTGCCTGAGTCCACAGTCACAAACCAGCATTTCCTCTTCATGTGTCTGCTCAACTGCAGCATTTTAAAAATAGCCCCACAAAAGAGTTTTTCAGAAGACCTCAAAATAAATTATTTACTGTCATTTCTGTCTTTTCTCACCTAATGCCTGCTGTCAGACACCTGCCAACACTTCCTTTGACACATCTGGGTCAAAAACAGTTATTTTTCAGCCACAAACTGGAGTTTGGTTTGTATTAAACATTTCTTCTGGTTTAAGTCAATGAAACTCTCAGTTTGGTAAACTGTGCTAACCTAATAAAACCATCCACAGGTGAACTAGCTAAGCAGTGTTTCCTAGTGGCTGAAGAACTAAAGTACAACTATTGTTCAAGAAGACTGATGGAATCAACTTTAAGCTGGTTGCTACAGATTTTCTTCTGGGACCACAAAGGCATCACTGGTTCCCCAGTTTTACTTCAACCTTAACTGAATTAAGGAGTAAACATTAAATCTGATTTTCCTGGCAGATTTGGACTGCTAAGTTGCTAGTTTGATATCACTACACAGTGTTTCTTTATGGAGGAAGGCTACATGTGTTTGTGTTTAATATTAAATTGTCTCCTTTTGTGTAAAATTGGTAAAAAAAATATTTTTGATGTTCTTTATTTTAGGCAACTTTACCATCGTTTATGATTAAAACATTGTGATGAAAATTAAATATCAAAATGGGGTAAAATTATCATACTTTTAAATCTTTTACAGCAGCGGTTCATGCTCTTTATTTATAAACAGTTACAAAAAAATCCCAGTGTTGTATACCTTTAGGCCAAATGTATTTTTTAAAACACAACAGACTCCAATAGCACATCAAAAAGGCAACAGAAGCTTTTGTTGTAAGAAACAATTTCAAATTTTTATTCAACAAGTCAAAGACGGGGAACACGTTTGTCAATTGAGGGAGGGGCTGCAATTATTGGCCATTACTATGATTTCAAACTTAATACTAACATTAATCAGAGTTTGGCTAAAAAGAAAACATGTTTTTGTTCCTTTTTGTTTTTTATAAAGAAACTTTATGTACATTGGTTCTTTTATACAAGAAGTTCATTGAATAAATGCATCAAAAAAGAAACATGTACTGCAGTAAAACTTTACAAAAAATACATTTATTTGTTTCATTGAGAGATTTAGAAAAGGAGGCGATCAAATATTGACCAATAATAGTTCTTCCTTTTCATCATTAAAAAAAGATGTTCTAATTACTATTTAAAAGAAAAGCAATATACAGCACAATAAATGGAAAGAAAAAAACAAACAAACAAAATTAAATTCATTCAGTTGGTTTGGTTACCAAGGAGAGGGGCTGCGACTGAAACAAGGCATGATGGGAGTGAAGGGCTGCCTGATGGAAAGGTGAGGGAGGGGAGAGCATGGAGTGGTGCAGGGAGGTGAAGGGAATTGGCCGGGTGAGGATGGGTGTAGACGGATGGCTACCTGAGGAAGCCAGGGGCACAGAGATGGTGGGCTGAGATGAGGATGAGGAAGAAGAAGACGAGGAAGAGGAGGATCCAGAAGCCTTTCCAGGCAGAGAGAAGTGGTGGTGCATGCGGCCCTCGGGTTTGGTGGTGAGCGACAGCGGCTGTGCCTGCTCAGAGTGAGTGGCGGCAGGAGCAGCGGGTGAGGCCAAGGCTGCAGAAGGGGTGGCTGGAGAGTCCAACATGCTGCCGTGGGACGACGCTGGGCTGTCACACATCTTCTCCGAGGGCAGGTACTGCACACACTGCTTTTTGTTTCTAATGGAGAAATCTGAGAAGAAAAAGAGAAATGGAATTATACACTGGATTGGCAATGGATTCAAGTCCCTCAATGCTCCCACTAACAGAATTTTTTTTCCCCAATGATGGAAACGTAGGAAGTGAAAATCCGGTGGAAACAACATGCACAAAAAGAACCACATGATAAGAGACAGTGAAACATGACATAATAATAATTTTAAATGGTTTCCATGAATAAAGATAGCGACAGACTGAAATGTGCCGTGAAATAAACACGTCATGTTATGTCACATAAGTTACAGATGCACTGTCGCAGACATACCTGCTACTATTAGCACTGAAGCTCGTAAGCTGTTTGTCAAAGCGGGGAAGCAGGGTGAGAAGTTAGTGTGTGTTAGCGAGGGAAAGAATCCATGCAAAAAGTACAAAAGACTAAATGCATCAACATGCAATGTCTCAATATGCACTTGGGTTGTGTAAACTACTGAGTCAGGTTTGTTTAATCTCCAAAACAATTTGTTTCTAATTGGTAAAATCTTTAACACATCGTGGATGTGATGGACAGTCTGAAATAAATCTAATATTTTTTAAGGGTAATTAAATTCAGAAATGGTGTTTTAATGAATCAGCAACAGTGTGAACTGGTTTCTCTGTAAATACAAGACTACTGCAAAACAACTGGATCCAAGAACGGTGGAGTAAGCAATAAAGAAGACAATGTTTAATTTGAAAAAAACAAAAACTTCAAAACGTTGAAAAAACTAAAAGTCTTCTTACCCTCTGGTTTTGAGTCTGCCTTATTATCTCTCTTCCTCTTTTTTCTCTTTCCNAGAAAGTATTGTTGTTTCAATACAGTGATTTTTTATGGCCGTGTTAGGAAGTGAAAGCATCAAAGAATCATCCAACTCACGTAGTTATCTCGTGCTGACCATCCGGGGTAGAGCTGGGAGTGGAGTTGCCTCTCCTTCCTGGCCAGCTCGTAGTATTTGGCTTGTTCCTCCCTGGACAGTGAATGCCACTGCAAACAAAAACAACATACATCAGTGTTTTTCAACCTAAGGGTCTCCACCCAATGCGGGGTAGCCTGGAATTCAAACTGGGTCACCTGAAATGTCTAGTAGTTAATAAAATTTACTGCTAAAATGTTTTTAACGTATTATTTTTCTTTTTGAAATTATGATTAAAAACACAATACATTCCTAACAGTATACCTTCAATTTCATAAAAATAAACGAGTTCAACGGCTACGATCATGTGACCGTACAAGTGACAGCTACATGAGTCTCTTTTGGGTACTTTGTGCTTTAATTTGGCTACTCGGTAACACAGTTGGCTAGATTATGGCAACACTGTATAACAAAGATGATGAAAACATTCTTTTAGAAATAAAAACAAGGTCTCTTCTGTAATGTATTATTATGGTCATGAGCCAGAAAAGGTTGGGAATCACCTTCTAAAATCACACTAACACACACGTGTTGTGTTAAACCCCTGACTCACCCTTCTCCCCAGAATCTGGTTGATGGCGGCACTCTCCTTCAGGGTGCACTCAGCCACTACTTTGGCTCTCATCTCCTTCATGTACAGCATGAATGCGTTCAGCGGCTTCTTGATGTGAGGCTTCTTGTCTTCTTCCTTCTTCGGAGGAACCGGGGATTTCCTGCTAATCCAAAACATTTAGACTGTGATACACGACCGTCCATATAAACATATCACAACGAGAAATACCACTGTTGTGACAAGGTCATAGTATGACTGACTGTCGGCCTGACCGTCTGTTATGACAACAGGTGGAGGGATTTAATGTGACTGTGTTACACCTGTGTATTAGTTTGTACAACTTAGCAGTACAAGTATCTGCCCAGGATTCCATGGATGTATCATTTGACAAGTACATTCTCACACTACTCGTAGTACCAGTATACTACTATGCTCTGACAGGGTCTGTGGACCCAGATTCTGGTTTCAACTGTTTGACAACTATGCCACATTCTTTTTCTTGTAACCACAGATGTGACAAGATTTTTGTCTTTTAGCCTAAACTGGGAGAAAATGGTGAAAATCTACATAGATTCTAAACATTTTTCTAAACAACTGACTGATGTTTTCAGGAAATATTGAGAATGTGTAAAATGTAAAAGGTTTGTGCTAAACTGTGTTTAAATGTCTTTAAATTTAAATGTGTCAAATTAAAACATTGTGTGTATACAAGTGTAGTAACTGTGAAGTTTTCTTTCCTGTTATTATTTTTTATAAATACATTTTCACTGCCAAATAAGCTGTATCTATAAGTTCTATTAAATATTCAACTTTTTTCAATTGCTCATAAAATGTATCATTAATATAAACAGATTCTGTTAACTACAACCTACTTTTGCTGACCTTTAACATTTTATTTAAAACTTTAAAACTTGTATATTCAAAATCTGTATGTGCATGAAACAGTAACTTTTCTTTGTACACAGACATATTGGAGGTGCTGATGGGAGTAAGAGGAAAAGACACTGTATATTATCTGAAAAAGATCCCACAAGTATTTAATATTTAAACGTAGGTTTAAATTGAAGTGTAACTTTGTTGTAGCACTAAAGTGTCAATATTGAAAGTCAAAGTGATGTGTTTTTTGTGAGTAGTCCTTACGCATGCATCGAGGGGCTGATGTTGTCGCTGCCGGGCTCCTGCTTGATGGCCGGAGAGACGATGGCGGGATGTGGAATGCCGGTCTGGTGGAGGCTGTGTGGAGGCGGGGTCACCATGTGTGGGGAGAAACGGCTGGACACCAAGCTGAGAGGGTGAAAACAGGTGATGCTTCAACAGCGCATAAGCAGGAAAGTTTGTGAAAAGGGCTGGAAAACTTGGCAAATTACTGCCCTGAAGTACCCTCCCTGTGAAATTCACTGTGTCCACTGTGTCTGTCTAGACTAGTTCATACACACAATGAGTTCCTTGCCTGGCTTTTTTGTTCAAATAAAGACTTTTTCAAAAGCCCCTTTATTCGAGCAGGGCCTGGAGAAAAGTGGAGTGTGTTGTTACTATGGCGACAGCATGGCCATGACACCTGAAACCACTTTCCTTACCACGTTCCAGACCATGAAGAGCGATCTGACAGCCGTCAGCACATAGCACCTTCTACAAAGTGGCTCTCTCACTTCCCGATTGTTCATACAATGGAACATTGTAATGGACCGGGGGATGGTGGTGGGGGGATTAATGCCATAAACCCAAATCACACACAGTTGGTGGAGGTTGTTAAAAAAGGTTAAAGACTTTAGAATAAGCCATGCTGTGATGCTGCGCTGCATAACTATGTGCCAACTTTATTATCTTCACTGCACTTCACCACTGAAGCTTCATTAACTACTGTTTATCAGAGAAATCACAGCAGTGTGAAATCGACTGTTGCGTCAATATATTCTCTCACCTCTGCTGAGCCAAACGGTCTCATCAAACATCTGTACTTTTCAAACTAGGACCAGCGATCACATTAAACATTTAGACCACCTGAATCTCAAAGCTGGAAATAAAAAAAAAAAAACAACAAAAAACTGTAGATGCATCTCATCTATTTTCAAAATGTCAACATAATAAAACTATTTAACTTGAAAAGATTAAATTTACTAAGGTTTAAAAAATAGTTTTTAAACTTTGGTAACTTTTTGAAGCCAATGGTGCCTTCAATGTCCTAGGAATATAAAGCTAACCGGTGCTAACTGATGACTGTTACTGTGGGGTATCATCCTAATCTCTTGTTCAGAAACGAGGAGCAAAAGTAAAAGTTAGAAACAAACAGACAGTTCTATATGAATTTGGAGAATTATTATTATTTCAGTTCCTCCTTGTGAATGGCAGTGAAACACTGTCAGGTGTTTGACAGACAGCATTAGTCCAGAGAAGACAAAAATAACTGCAAATAAATCCTGTCAAGACTTTTCTGAGCAGCTCTCCGGTTTTTAGTGCAACATTTTTATTTTTTTTAAACAATAAGTTGTGAAACTGTGTTTTCAGGCCTGACACCCCCCACCGAACTCCTGTCCCTCTCCCGGTATTTTAATGGATGTATGCCTGCTTTATTTTAATTTGTTCATATAAAGGAACCTGACACTACTGTGTGTAAGACAGAGGCAGGATAATATTGAATATATTGTTCTGTTTTCTTTAAGCAGTTTGCACTGCAGTAAATGTCAGTAGATTTTCTCTGTATCCTGCGCTGGTACTCTCTGATGTTAATATGACTTCTGACTTGCAGTTGAAGCTGCATTACCTGTCAATTGATCACAGACACACTGGTGAATATTTTATATGGTGCTAACAGTGGAAGGACAAGAACAAATCTGGCCAATTTTGACAGAGTTTAGTCTGATGGGATGTGTAGGTTCAGATAAGCTTTGATTTGTCCTCATTGATTCTCAGCCCTTTCATCTCACGCTTCTCTCTCCCTCTGTATGTGTGTGCGTGTTAGAGAGTGGCTCAGAACACTGATCTGACCACAGACACTTGTCTCCGAGAGACAAGCTGGGAGAGAAGCGCTGAATGCCAATAATGTCTTCACTCTATTTAAGAAGCTGAACTTGTCAGTGATGGACTTATGGCTCTCACCCCATCGTAGTCCTGACACTGTGGGTATTTTAAGTTTTGATCTGAAAACACTTCCTTTTAAGCTATAATTAATTGACTATAACTAATAACAATAACCTATTATTACAGCTATAATATGTGTTATATTAATTGCCTATTTCCTAAGTTTATGGTCTGATGATATCGAGTAGAAAAACTGACATTTCCTAACATACAAAAATCATAGTAAAAATAAAAGTCTTTGCTTTCTGTGGCAGCTGTTCACAACCACAGCCGTTCTGACTAAATAGGTGCTTTCTGAGGGCACACAGTTTTTTAAGCAATCAGCTGAAAGTTAGACCTGTTGACAATCTTTCCATGGCTCGTCTGTCTTCAACACAACAGCGTGCTGACTGTGCATCACCAATTTGTTTTCCTTGAGCTCAATATGTGTCATAACGATAAAGAACTGATATTGAATATTCCGCCCACGGAAGGTGAGGTGTTTTGTTGAACATGAGCTGCTCACCTGGACATTGATGCATTCATGGCCAGAGCTGGATATGGGTGACGGAATCCTCCCGGAGGGATGGAGTACATGGGCTGCCCCTGTCTGAGTGACAGAGAGAGAGAGCGAGAGAGAGAGAGAGAGAGAAAGAAAGAAAGAAAGAAAGAAAGAAAGAAAGAAAGAACGTAAGACAGAGAGCCCTTGCCAGCCCACCAACACTGATCCTCTCCATCAGCTCAGGTTCCTTACTTGTGGAACAGCTGTGTTACAACTGATCATAAGGAACAAAAACAAACAAACAAAAAAATATAATAATAATAATAATAATAATAATAACAACAATAATAATAATGTAGTAAGTATTTTTTAAAAAGTATTAAAATATTTTAAGTTAATCGTTTTTTTGAGATGATTTTTTGTCGCACATTTTCCTTCACACCAACATCAGCAACAAGTTATGACGTAAATAAACGTTACGGCAAAACAACATTTTCTTTGCACATTTCTAACCATTCATCCAGGCTTAAGAAATGCACTACACTGCTGAGGAATGATGCGCCTGCAGATGAACCTGAGTCGTGACAGAACGACTCCTAACCCACTAAACGACGACCCGATCACTCAAAAATATCAATCTCTAACTGCTGTCTTCCTCAGCAGTTTGCCGCACTGGTAATTTAACAAAGTAATGTTGGAACAGTTACACCTATAAGATTTTTTACTGACACATGGGCTCCTCTTGGAGAAGAGTCCTCTAATGGCGGCTCGAGAAAATGAAGCAATGCTAAGACACACATCTCCATCTGAACATGGAGCTTCAGGGTAGGAGACCCGTAGCCACTGTCTAATCTATGTTGACATAAATGCTACAGTCAGTTTAAACTTTTGTGGAACATCACACATCTGGGTTTGTGAGCAGAGGGAACTTACTGTTGCATGAACCAGCTCAGAGGGTGTGCAATGGACCCCACTGCACCGGGGGACAGTGGGTAATATGGAGAGAGCTCTGAGGGGTGAGGTGTCCGAGGGATACCTGCAGGTGGTGACATGGAAAACAAAAATAAAATTAACAAAAGTACACTTTTTATTTGTTGAAAAGATGACATGTGATGCTGGTGTTTCAGTTCTTTTCTTTGGCTAGAAGTCAAATCCATCGTTACCGTAGCCAACACATTTATGGCCAAAGAGGTTTCTCTTTTAATGTGTTTTGCACATGAACAATATTTTATGTTTCTAAGATCAACTTGTGGTAAGGGGAAAAAAAACACCACTTCTTGGAACACTTCTTGGAGTTTTAATGCAAGGAATGAATGGACGCTGTGCTGCAGGGACAAATGTTTGCCGTTATCCCTCATGTCTGCTGCTGTCTTTGTTTTCTGCCCTTGTGTTTCATTGCTTTTTGCATGAAGCGCTATGATGCCCCCTGCAGGAGGCACATCACACACAACTGGTTTAGAGCATGCCTATCTAATATATATATATATATATATATATTTATTTATTTTTTAATTTATTTATTTTAATGAGATATAGGTCAGACTGATCGATGTTTTGAGGTGGTTTTAATATGCGTGTATATATATATTTATATATCTCCATCTCATTATGCAGCATTCGAACTGTTAAATGCATCACCTGTCTTTGGGTCGAGGATCTCCGGGGAAAGGTGGGACGGCGGTGTTCCCGGTGAGAAATGTTCATTGCTGTAGGTGATGAGCGGCGTCAGTGGGTGTACGTGGTGGCCGTGCTGAACAACAGGGACTTTGTTGGACTGTTCAGAAAGGGAAGAAGAGGAACAGGGATTAAACAACAGTCAAAAAAGAGTGAAGAAGAATTAACTAATTAAAACTACAGCTCTAAAACAAAACAAGAACGAGCATGATCTCTAATCATGATTGAAAACCATATCTAGTCTATGAAGCCAATAGGTTGTCATGTGTGTGGTGAAACATCACAGTGTGTGCGTGTGACCAGCCCTGTGATGCAATCTGGACCAGCACCAAGTAACACTGAAAAGCCCTACAGACACATGCCAAGACCATTACAGTCACTGAGCTGAGGAGCAAACTGTTTGTTCAGTCCAACGAAAAAGAAAAAACAACAACGGTGCCACTGAGTCCAGAAGTTACGCCGGCGAGCCACAAACAAACACCACCAGGCTAAGGTAAACTTAAGGGCCGTAAACAAGTGGAGACATCATCCTCTTCTCTGTCTGATGGCAGCCATTCCACCACATGTGGATAATGCTGTCTGTTCAGACCACAGACAAGCCTAGTGTTAGAAAAACACGTGTAAATGTTCAGATAAGATGACGCAGAGCGGAAAAATAAAGCAGAGTTCTACACACAGACTCAATCTTTTAGTGTCGTTTCAAATAGGTGCAGACAGTTCCAGAGACAGATAATAATAATGACATAATAATAATTATTAATAAAAATATTCAGTGTCTCTACTTTCATTAGGCAGCACTCAGCCTCCCGGTCATTTCCTCCTGAGCAGTGTGACTGAATAGAGCACTTGTTGACTCAACTTGTCACATGGGAGGGTCAAGGAGGAGGGGGAGAGGCGTTGGTGGTGGAGAGGTGGGGGAGAAAGGAGTCTTGTTCCTCCAGGCTAACCTTTCTTCAAACCCCCCAATGACCCCCACCCTCTCGTCTCTCTCCAACGTGGTCTGCCAGGGAACAAGGTTTGCATTGAGACTTCTGTAAACTCTCCTGCCTCATGCTGCTCGGAATTGTTCCAGATCATACTGATTTTTTTTTTCTCGTTCTTGTAAAAAAAAAGAGGTAATGGCCCAACCTTTTTCCTTCCTTTTAAATCTTAAGAAAATTGGTGTCTCCGTATCTAAACAGGCTTTGACTGTGGTACTTCTAGATGGAGTGAAGAAAATATTGACTGATTTTACACACAGTTATAATAAGACCACTTTGCACGGGACTTTGTTTTTAACAAAAAACTACTTTTCTCCAGATTTAACTCTGCTTCAGAGTACACAGGAGCCAGGAGACTTTCTGTTGTGTTGGCCACTATATCTTTGTGAGCACTTACACAGTTGCACAATTGCCAAAACAGTAGCATATGGTGTGGGTTCACAGTATGTGTACGTACATACAATCCTACTTCCATGAAAGTTGGTACTCTTTCTGAACCATAAAGAATTCTTTAACTTGGTCAGACACACAGAATTCAGTGTTTTTACGGTGAAGAGAACACTGACTGTTGCAGTTGTACATTTGCTGTCATCCGTATTGGGCCAGATATTGATCACAAAATATAAATACAAGCTAAATTATAGTACTTTCATTAAGGACAAATCTCCACAACTTCTGGTGGTTTAAAATGTTGAAAACAAGGGCATTAGTTTTCTTTTGAGATGTAAAAAAATTTAATTTTTGAAAGTTTTCTTATGACAGTAATCTTGATGTCTATTAAGATTAATCATTGCAGCACAATACCAGTTCTGTTCTCTCCAAATTCACACATTCCT